AAACCACCAGCCTTTCTGCGGAGAAAGGTGAGATTGCTCTTGGAAACACAGAGGGGCAGTTGTGCCCTGCCCTTGGGGGTCGCTGTGAGTTGGGATCACCTCAGTGGCAGTGGGTTGGGTCCGGTTCAGAATTTGCAGTCTTGGCACACAGAGGAATGTTTCATAATTATCATCATTCTCATTTCGGCTGGACTGTCAGCTGCTCATCCTCTGAGGTGTTCAAAATGTGATCGTTTTTTAATGGAGCAAAGAAAGGTTTATCCACTCAGATGAGAAGGACACGGATTCTTGCCTAATAAACCTTTCGAGGAGAATGCCCCTGCTCATGTCTCACCAGGGCCTCTCTTCCCCCCAAGCACATCTGGCAGCCTGCCCTTGCCCCTCCTGCTCGGTCAAGGGTAGAAGGAAGAAACTGAGGGGAGCCAGGTGCTCAAGTTCATGTGTGCCAGAATGATACTTCATGGCCTCGTAATTCTCGGTCACTGGACACAGGGGGCTTTGATCTGAGTAACTCAGCCTTGGCTCCCAGGGCCTTTGTTGAGGGGTTATAAATGATCACCATCATCGCGCCCCCCCCCCCCCCCCCCCGCCAGTGGTTCACGTGCTCCCTGATTCTGCAGCTGTGTTCCAAGGAGGGTCCCTGGGAAGGTCAGGGGCTATGGCCCCAGTGAAGTCTTGTCCCTACCAATGGGCTTTTTGCTTGAACTGGGCTGGGATGAGAGCCAGCCTCTGTCCCTGCCCATGTTTGCTTGCCAGCTTCCTTGATGGCATGTCCACCCTGAGGTGTAGCCCTCATTTATCCGCTGGGTGGCTTCAGACCTTTATCCTTGACCGCAGGAGAAGGTCAGCTTTCTCCCAAAGGCTCTGACTTGCTCGACTCTTCTGGGCTTTCGTCCCTCCTCCCTTTACCCTCCCAGAATGTTTTTGTTTTGTGGGGAAGAGGAGGAAGGTGAAAATAAGTGGCAGCCAGTAACCAAAGAAGTTAAAATTAGAAAATATAGAGCGCTCTCACTGAAGCGAGGTGGTTCATAGTATGCATGATCATGGTGGAGGTTAAATGACAGAATCGATGTAGCATAAAGAATGGTCTGAGGGAGGGTGGGAGGGAGGGCAGGCGGATGAGTGAGGAGAAGAAGAGAGTTTCATGACCAATTGGATACAGGAATTGTGTCCAATCCGGGCATCGTTCGTGATAGGTAGGGCTGCAGAAGCAGGAAGAGGACCATGATGGGGACAAGTCCACAGTATCTCTGTCTGGGACACACCCAGGCAAGCTCCTAAGAAACTGCCACTCCCTGGGCTGGCTGGAGACGGTGGAGGTAAACTACTTTGCAAGGCAGTCAGTCTGAGGTCAAGATCGTCTACATCCTTCAAGGTCTTCCATGGAGCCTTTAAGCTATGTGGGCGCTCCCCAAGTGGATTTTGGACCATCACTGCCTTTTGCAAACCAGGTGCTCAGAATTTAAGCTCTAATACACAGCCTTTGATGCTACAACCGAAAAAAGGAAATAGAAAACAAAATAAAGCCACTGCTCTTGAGTCAATTCTAACTCATGGGAACTCTACGTGGGGTTTCTGCGACTCTAAATCTTTCGGGAGCAGATACCCTCAGCTTCCTCCCACTTGACACTGAGACAAGGTGGTTACTACCAAAGACTGACCGAGGAGTGTCTTTCTGGTGATGAACTCAACTTTGGACTTGACATTCTGTTGCCATCGTCACCTCAACACGATGGAAATAGTCCAGTACAGCCCTGGGAGAGAGTGTAAAAGATACCATGTTTGGAGACGAGCTCAGGTCTTGCGTGTGCTCCTTACACTAGATGGAAGACCAGTTTCTTTCTCGGTAGCTTGGTAATGGTAAGCCCTTCGCGCAGGAACATTTGGCATATTAAATTCAGCAACGGCTACAAATCAAGCAACTCATCGCCTTGTGTGTAGTAAGGGCTTAAAGTACCGAGTCCTTATCCAGTGGTTGAGAGAGGACAGAAAACTCAGGGTGGGGAGCTTGCGCGGTATCTGGAATCAGGAGGATCAGTGAACTATACAGGGAGTACGATTCCAACAGGAGGCGAGCTGCCATTAGTGGGAGGAGGAAACCGCATCCGCGATGGGACAGGGCAGTGTCGTATTGTCTATTGATATACACTAAAGAGAGAGAAGACACTGGATTGGACACTTGGGCCCCAAGGCCACCCTGGGCTACCTTGAATCCATGCAGGTTCTGTGGATCAATACAGACACAGACACTGTGATTGCTCGTGACCCTGGTGGGAGTTAAACCGCTTATTCATAGCCCTTCTGTTCGGTTCAGCCGTGCTTAACATTTTTCAGAGAAAGCCACGTTTGGGATTCCTTAGGAGTTATTGGGGTTAAAAACCAGCAAGCAAACATTCCTGGGAATGTTTCTGTTTAGTTCCTCTGGGACCCTGGGTTTCTATTCAGGGTAACTTTTGTGGGCCCCCAGAGAAAAGCCACGCTAGACGAAGGAGGGAAGGTGAGAGCGAGAGAGGACCTGTTTAGGACTCTGGCTGGAAATCAACGTGGTGTGTGCTGAAAAGCCGTGAGCCACACTGTGGTCAGTGTGTTGTTTGCACCCTCCCCCTAGCACCCTCTTCTGCTTTGCCACAAGACGAAGCAGTCGCGGCAAGGGCTGAGGTAATTTTGTGGAATTGGAACTGCATGTGGTTCTGAGAAAGCCAAATATATCCTATAGACAGTTCCCTCTGCAAGACAGCACGGGCGGCAAGCTTTCGAACCCCCTTTCTGAAGCTCTGAGCCCGTGGCTCTGGTTGGAGGACTTGTCCCAGGGTGGCCCCCTTCCTGATGGATATTTAAAGGTTCCTTTTCCCAGAGTCTCTTAGAATTTGCCATTTACTCTGTCTTCATCAGAGAAACCATTAGGCAACTTAACATTTTTCTTCCCAGTAATAAATTACTTGATGGAAGTGATTTTGGTTTTTGGAAAAGGAATATATGGGGTTTTTTGAATCTGTCATTTGCATTCTTGAAGAGATTTTATGGGCTGGCATTTTTTAAAGAAGTTCCCCTTCATAATTTTAGTCAAGCTGTTTGTCTTCTCTAACATTTAATATGTAGAAATCTTTTAATTCTGGTAAGAAAATATATAGCAGAACCATTGTCACGTCCGCCTTTCCCACATGGTCTGCCTAATGACGCTGACTGCGCGCAGCACGGAATCAGTCACCCTTCTGAATTAACTGTGTAAAAGGTCTTTTTAAACGGCGTGCGGCGTGGACCTTCTCTCCAGGAGCCCCCTGTGCCCTCTCCCCATCATCATTTTGATGTCTGGGCAGGCGACCTTTCTAGAAACCCTCCTTCAGAATGGCTTCTTCTCCTTGTTGAAACTCCCCAAAGCATTGACCTCCCAGAGAGAGGGAAGGGCCCAGATTGATCAGTTTTGCCCTTGCACCCTGAGGAGGGTAAGTAGGTTTGGAGGGAAGGGAACACCTTCCAATAGTTTGCCATCGAGTGGTTCTCAGTATTTCATATGAATTCGCTTTTATTTTTTCCTGCCAATTGCAGATTATTGTAAAGATTCTCCCTCCTCTGGTCTCCCCTGAGAAATTCCACATGGTCTAGATCCATTTCCAGTGGCACCTTCTCAGACCAGT